AAATGAGATTAGTTTCTCAATGGACAATATTTTCCTACACAAAATCTTAGCAAGCATTATTTTCACCAAAGATTCTGTTCTTTTCTTTAAATACTAAATCTTTGTCATCGCCCGCATACCATAGAGCCATTCAGAATAACTGAAAAGTTTCAATGATCTGATTTATGGCTACAGTTACCCTTATTTTGTGAATTCATTGCTGTTGCAGGAGAAAGCTATATAGCAACTCTGCTTAGAGGCTTTAAAAAAGTAGGTTGGTTTGATTGACGGATCAATACACGTTGGGTTTTCACCTGAATTTCACTTATGAAGAGTAAGTGAAACTGTTCCTGTCAAAGGAATGTCAGCTTGGCCCTAGGAGGTAAGCTTTTTGACAGTCTCTACGAATGGTTGTCCTACCGATGACTGTGCCGTCATTTAGTAATTGACCCTGACAGCTGTGAAAAATTAGTGGTAGAGGGTGTAAAGAAAAGAACAAGCAATACAAAAAGCCCAAGGACACAGGGAAATCAAAGAACACATAGCGAAGGGAATGCTGTGTTCTGCCTAGTGACCAAATCATTTTTTTTTGCTGATTATGTAAACAAAATTTATTTATTTATTTATTTATTTATTTATTAAGATTTCTGTCTCTTTCCCACCACCGCCTCCCATATCCCTCCCCCAATCAACTCCCCCTCTCTCATCAGTCCAAAGAGCAGACTGGGTGCCCTGCCCTGTGGGGAATCCAAGGACCTCCCATCTCCTTCTAGGTCTAGTTAGGTGAACATCCAAACAGCCTAGGCTCCCACAAAGCCAGTACGTGCTGTAGGATCAAAACCCACTGCCACTGTTCTTGACTTCTCAGCAGTCCTCATTGTGCGCTATGTTCAGTGAGTCCAGTTTTATCCCATGGTTTTTCAGACCCAGTCCAGGTGGCCTTGGTGAGTTCCCGAAAGAACATTCCCATTGTCTCAGTGTGTGGGTGCACATGGCCCTGAGTTCCTTGCCCGTGCTCTCTCTCCTTCTGCTCCTGATTTGGACCTTGGGGTTGTAGTCTGGTGCTCCAATGTGGGACTCTGTCTCTGTCTTCTTTCATCGCCTGATGAAGGTTAATATCCAGGAGGATGCCTATATGTTTTTCTTAATAAAGAAAGGAGAATCAACTGCATGCATACTAACATTGAGACAGGAGAAAAATCCAAAATAAGATTTTTCCCAGATGCTTCCTATCAGCTTCAGTGGTTTTCACTTTCTACACAACCATAGGCTACATTTGTAGAGAAAAGAAGTAAACACAAATTCACACTCGGGTCTTAGTTTGTGTTTGTGGTGCCTGGCAAGGCACCTTACGCTTATGTGAAACACTGTAGTTCATTCATTCATTCACATGACACAAGGAACATTTATTAAGCACCTACTTTGCCCAGAGGATAATAGTGTATTTGTGAAGAAAGCAAAGCTTATTAAGGGGCTCACTCTGGTATCACTAAAATGATTGCAAATTCTGCCTGCAGTGAGCAAAATTGTAGATTGTCAAACACAACCAAGTGTTCATACCCTGCAGCCAGCAGCCTGCACTGGAAAGTGTGCTCTAAACTTTCTTGGCTGACTAACCTCGCTCCAGCTGCTTATTAACCATGTTGTGTCTCAGTTTATTTCTTAGTAAAATGAGAATATGAAATGATAGATCTGTTATGTGTGTGAGTGAGTGTAAGGTCTTAGATCAGTCTCTGCAGTAATAAGCACAATAAGTGTGAGGTATTTGATAAGAGAAATTGATCCACATTTTATCTGCTAACAAAAGCCCTCAGTTAAAGGGGGTAAATATTGAAACCCAAACTACAATACAAATAGGTATTTTTTTCTTTTTTTTTAATTTATTTATTTATTAAAAATTTCTGTCTCTTCCCCGCCACCGCCTCCCATTTCCCTCCCCGTCCTCCAATTAAGTCCCCCCCCCCCCCAGCCCAAAAAGCAATCAGGGTTCCAAGGACATTGAGCCTATAATTAGTGATCCTGCAAATAGTTATTGATGTGTTATTTCGCTTGGTGGGGATCATAGAAAGCAACTCAGTGGTTAAGGTAATCACTTGTAATATGTATCTCTGCCCCTATTTGATCATCTGTAAAGAAGCGGTAACAATGGTTTTCCCCACAACTGCTCTACAAGGAAGGGCAGAAATGGCTCATGCAAACCTGCAGCAGTCCCCGCTGAAGAGGTGGTTATTGAATGATGGCTGTTATAACTGTAACCCGATTTTAAAGAGGGAGCAGCTCTGATTAAATTATGCACAGGAGAGCATGTTAGTGTTGTTTAGCATGATTGTCATGAAGAATTTTTTCAGTTAAATGGGTGTTGGACTCCATGACTTCAGGACTTCATGTAAACTGACGTCCACAAACTTCTTCTGCAGTGGCATTCTTTTATATTTACAAATCTCTTTTTTGCTAAATTTTTTAGCTTTGTGTGTATTTCTAACTGAAATTGACCTTTTAAAATATCTTTTCAGATATATTCTTAACAAGATTGTAACTGAATTCATATAATAATTAAATCACTTTTCTTTAATTTTATGTTTTCTAAAATCATCCATTTTTAAAAAATATAACAATCTCTGTAAAGGAGGTTTCTCTGTTCCTCCCCTTCTACATTTGCTTTTAAATAATCACAGAGGCTTCATATTAATTACAAACCCTTTGGCCTATAGTTCAGGCTTTTTACTAACTAGCTCTTATGTTTAAATTAACCCATTTCTATTAATCTGTATATTGCCACATTTTTCTTTCTTGCCTAGCTGTATTCTCTGTTGCTATAGGCCAAAGTACCTTTTATTATCAACCAACAAGAGCACCATATTTTCATAGCATTCAAAAGAGTTAACACAGCAAATTCCAATTTAATGAATTCCTGGTCTCAGTCCTTTTGTACTCTCTAGGTCTATTGCTTACTCTCAATTGTTATTCATAAATTCCATTCTTAAAAAAAAATCTGTTTTCCATAGAATTTTTTTCTTATACCAATAAACTCAAATCATAATCATTTATTTTATAAAGTCCTTTAATTATAGTAGTATAATAACTAAATAACTATTTCTAATTTTAATCTGCATTAAGTTAATCATTACTTACACTTTTGATATTTAACCCAGATTTCTCTTTTCTGTCTTGACTAATCTCTCTATTAATATTTCAGATACTGTGATATTCCTAATCCCCTCCTATTTAAGCTGTTAACATCAGTGAGTTTGTTTATTTATTTTCTTCATTTTCTTTTTTTGCTATTTTTTTAACTTTATTACATAGTTTTTTGTGGGGCTTCTTGGACTGATCAAATAATCAATCCCCTGAAAACTATCAAACCTGTAATTATCTTCTTCTCTTTTTCTCTCACATACCATAAACTTGGGAATAAAGTACTTTCAATACTACTTTTTTTGTAAATATTGAGATTTCCTTTATAATTCCTTCCCAATTCTCACAATAGACTAAGTTTGAACTAATAGGTTTTATATATGTTGTATATATTCCCCTTTTTGTCAATTTTTTCATTACTGACTCCAAGACTGAATCTATATTTGAGAGAAAACTTCATTTTTTCCAATAATTCAGTACAGGGAATGCTCTAAAATTCAATGTCCATAATTTTTATACTTACATAATACAGCTTTATAACTCACACAGCATTATTTTCTTTAAAAGGTTGTGAAGAAAATGTATGTGTGTGTGTGATTTTTCAAATGTTCACCTAAATTTAGGTAAGAGTATTCTATAGTATAATACCCTATACTTGATCAAGATTTCAAGATAAGTCATACATCTGAAGTTGATGAGTGATGTCAGTTTAGAAAAAAAACCATCATGAATTTCAGAGAACAGGTAATAATTCTACTAAGAAATAATCTTGTGAATATATTACATGTGACATTAATTTTCCATATTCATAAAGAGACAAATGTAAAAGAACACATTTGAGGACACTTACACAAAAAAGTCAAATGGCTCATTGCTTTAGGCACAAGCTATTAAAGTTCAATTGATTAATTATGTCTTTCTCCACGATGTATATCTTTATTTTAGGGATTTTATTTAAGAATTTTATTTATAATATTATTTAATTCCAAAGGATAAGCTTGAAGCCCTAATACCTGACAAATGAGAGTTTGTTCTAATGACATGAGTGTGCTTGATTAGTAATACTGCTACTTACTTGTTTCACTACAAGTTTATTGAAACAAAATCATCAGACAATTGTGAAATGTATAAATAAAAAGAGGAAAACAGTAGTACATTTGTTAACGTGCTTATTTACAAAAAGAAAATATCAAAGATTACATTTTCATCACATTGCTATCTTGATATATTTATATATAAAGGGTAAAATATACTTTTACCCAGAAACAAATAATAACTTTCAAAAACATTAATATTCTCCTAACTTCATGCTAATGGCAAAAGTAAGTAACTATTTCTTTTTAATTTTTATTGGTTCTTTGAGAATTTCATACAGAATATTTTATCATTCTTTTCCATCCTACAACCCCTTCTATATCCACTACCCACCCAACTTCATGCTATTTCTTTTTCTTAAAAAGAAAGATTTTTAAGCATAGTTGTGAACAAGCAAATATGTCAATTGGAAAATATTTACAAATCTTATTGAGGAATACTTCCTGATAAACTCAGTTAGACTTTTACTATGGTCATCTGTTTTGTAAGTTTTTTAACAAACGAAATCAGAGTAGGTTTAGAGTCACTGACACAGTGTTTAGCCTGACTTCAAGATAAATGCTGAAAATGAATTCTGATTTATTCTTCCTAGGACAGAACTTCTTGAAAACTTCTATTTAAAGCCAGTTTTGTGCCTACACGAAACCTGTTTCTCACAGAGGTTGTTATTACTGAAAGAAGTAACAGTTGATTTTATGATTACAGCAGTCTTACTATTTCTCTAAAATTATATTTATTATTTTCTCTGTTGTTCCTACCTTTACCTTCCCTTATCTTGCTCTTCCCCACAGAAAAAATTATGACATCAACATCCAAAGGCATTCTTCGTCCATTTCTAATCGTCTGCATCATTCTGGCCTGCTTTATGGCGTGTCTGCTTATTTACATCAAGCCGACCAACAGCTGGGTCTTCAGTCCAATGGAATCTGCCAGTACTGTCCTGAAAATGAAAAATTTCTTCTCCACAAAATCTGATTATTTTAACGAAACCACTATTCTGGTTTGGGTGTGGCCCTTTGGGCAGACCTTTGACCTTACATCGTGCCAAGCGATGTTCAACATCCACGGATGCCATCTCACGACAGACCGCTCACTGTACAACAAATCCCACGCGGTCCTGATACACCACAGAGACATCAGCTGGGATCTGACCAATTTACCTCAGCAGGCGAGGCCACCCTTTCAGAAATGGATTTGGATGAATTTAGAGTCACCCACTCACACTCCCCAGAAGAGTGGGATTGAGCACTTGTTCAACCTGACACTAACTTATCGCCGTGATTCTGATATCCAAGTGCCTTATGGCTTCTTGACGGTGAGCACAAATCCCTTTGTGTTTGAAGTGCCAAACAAAGAGAAACTGGTGTGCTGGGTTGTGAGTAACTGGAACCCTGAGCATGCCAGGGTCAAGTATTATAACGAGCTCAGCAAGAGTATTGAAATCCATACCTATGGGCAAGCATTTGGAGAATACGTGAATGACAAGAACTTGATTCCCACTATATCTACTTGTAAATTTTATCTTTCTTTTGAAAATTCAATTCACAAAGATTACATCACAGAAAAGCTTTACAATGCATTTTTGGCTGGCTCAGTACCCGTTGTCCTGGGACCATCTAGGGAAAACTATGAGAATTACATTCCAGCTGATTCGTTCATTCATGTGGAAGATTATAACTCTCCCAGTGAGCTGGCAAAATATCTAAAGGAAGTTGACAAAAACAATAAGTTGTACCTTAGTTACTTTAACTGGAGGAAGGATTTCACTGTCAACCTCCCACGATTCTGGGAATCACATGCATGCCTGGCTTGTGATCATGTAAAAAGGCATCAAGAATATAAGTCCGTTGGTAATTTAGAGAAATGGTTTTGGAATTAAAGTTTTAATAATTTTCACATTTAGTGAAATATATGAATGTGACACCATTCAACTTCTGATGATAAGAAGAGAAACACTTTGCTTTAATGTCACAGATTATTTTTTCCACCCTCCATTGAGTAACATGTATATTTTGATGGAAATTTTTAAAAGCTCAGAATAAGCGATCACTCCCTTTGGTTTTAAATTATCCTGTATATATGTGATAATGAGCACTGGAAATAATTTATTCTTTCTTCTCATTTGTAAAACATTCTTTTGCACATTTTATAGTTGCCTGTAAAGTAAGGTTATGATTCAATTGTTTCTACACCAACCCGATCTATAATCTGTTTGGGAAATGGAAATGCATACTCTAAAATTTGAAAGATTTTTACCAAGAATTATAATGTCTAGATTCTAGCTAGCATAATGTTAACAAAGAAGGATTAGAGTATCACTTAATTTTTAACCTCTTCAACTTCAGAGTTGAACACTGTGTATAACTGATGTCATTTTTACCTGTTTACCACATTTGTGAAGATGGACTTATTCATGTAGTAAATAAGAAAGATATGAAGCAGAAATGTTATTAGACTTTACATTCATTTTCATTAAGTTGTTTTGCAAATGCAGACTCTCAATATCTTAAAATATCCAACAATTTTGAGACATACAATTTATGTGATATTTTTAATGCCTAAAAACAGCTAGGAGAAGTTTTGGTTGTCCCCTTTCGAATCCTTAACATTGCCATTTTTGCAAAAATAAACAATTTCCTCATAAAACAAGTAAAATGGTATCTGCAATACAGATAAAATGCATAAATTGTGCCATTTATATAATTTTAATTACTTTGTTCATTTGAAATAGCTTCCAAAGCATCAATATTTACAAGTTTTATTTTTCCATATTTTGTAATAAATGCATATAAAACTTGAAAGGTCTATCCTTTCATTTTAAAAAACCTAAACAGAATTATTACAATTGGTATATATATATATATATATATATATATATATATATATATATATAAATTAAAGTGGGAACTTTCAAGGAACAAACAGTGCTAACACAGAGTAGGATCTCAAAATATTTTTATTAAATAAATAAATTAACAGCATTGGAAAATCGTGGGTAATTTTTATTTGTTTCAATAAAGGAACAGTTCTAGTCTATGGTTATTAATTGAAAATTATCTTTTATTATGTTTCTAAAACTATTCATGCATAGCACATGTTGTTATGATATTCAGGACTGTACAGAACCAGTATAAGCTTATTATTGCACTGAATTTGGGGGCTTGTTACCCATGAACTTGCAGTTACCTGCAGAAATTCTCTTTTGAAAGTTTAGAGGAAGTAGATGGGCATATGCAGACAAAGTACATTAGGGAAAAAAAGCAGATACCTAAGGCTTTTACAGAAAATTATTCTCCAAAGGATTCCTAATGCTTGTCTTCTATTCTACTCAAAACCTACAGGAAATGTAATGTTCTGATGAAATCCAATTGGATCTTTCATGGCTCATTATAGGTTTCCTATTAACTGTTGCAATCAACACAATTTACACTCACTCTCTGTATAGATCATGGGGAAAGATAAATTTTAGTTCAGTTAGCACGTAATTGTGTGCCCTGTGAGAGAATGAGATTCCCTGGCATGGGCAGGATTTGAACAAATACTCCAGAATTCAACAGAAACTTTGGTTTTATGTTCATTTTTTTCAGAAATAATTATACAAAAGATAAACATAACAATATAACACAAAAACAAAGATGAAAACGTGTTGTAACTGCCTTAAAGGGGCTTGTGAAAGAGCTTCCTCTAAGTTCCATTGTGTGCAACTCTTAATGGAGATCGTATGAGTTATTGCTCATTTCCTGAAAAAAAAAACTACTAATGAATTTACCCTGTTGTTTTGTTACTCAGCATGTGATGGAGCTGCAAGCTCTTTCCATCATTTGATCTGACATCTATTTATTTCTTCTGTCAATACATTGTTTTATGTACATGGAGGTAAAGTGCATATACATGGGTACTGTCCTAAAAGCTCGACCATATATTTATTTGTTTAAAAGCTAATTTCAGACATTTACATTTATTTATTATCTTTTTGATCCATAAAATGTAGGTCCCTAAAGATGCAATGCAATGCTAAGCTTAGAAAGCATTTTCTCTGAAAGCTGGAAAGCATCTAATGGTGTTTCCATCCACCATTGCTAAACTGGACCCTAAGAGACCTGGAGGCAGCTACCTGTCTCTTCTGTTGACAGTGAATTTGAGCTTATTCTTGGAATGAAACTACAATTAAATGCCAGAAATATAAACCAAGCCAAGGCAACAAGTATTTCATTAGTGCATCTGTACATTGGAAGCCTAATCCAAGCCATAGAAATGAGTGTTTGAATTTCAAGTGAACAGTGAAAAGCCAGCTTTTAACTAGAGAAAATCATAACAATATTCATAAGCTAAACTCTTCTATCTGAATTAATTATATATAAAGCATTATTTATTCATGACATATGTTGAAAGACAGTCATTCAAACCCCACACATAGTGATAGTAGATATTAGAATTTAAGGATCCTATTGCTGTTAATCTCATGTTTGTCTCCACCCTTCTCCACCTTATTGTACAAATTTGTCCCAATTCCTGCGATGTCAATATCACATTGATATGTGGGATGGTAAGCACTGGGACTTCAACTCTTGAATAAATAGTTAACTAAACTTTAAATTTTGGCACTTTTTCTCATTTGTTTTAGCAGCTGATCTTTAGCAAAAAGAGTGAGCTTTGCTATGTGTAAGTGAGAAATAACAACTGAAAAGATCTGCCACTGATCACTCACAGTTTTTTAAGGATATCTCATGTGAAAGATAGATTGATTCAATCAACTTGGCTTGCGGTTGGTTATAATAAAGACTGATAATAGGCCTGGGAATAAACTATGACTCTAAAATTGCCAAGAACAAGTTTTTATTCCAAGTACAGAAAGTCTTTACAATCAGTACTCTGAATATTTAATTGTTAATTATTGCAGGCCTTATTAGTAAGAATATGTAAATATTTTAAACTTCTCTGATAAGAACATAGACTGAATTATCCATATCTATCTGGCTTCATATTTGAAGAAGGAAAACCATGACAGTGATTTATTTTAGGACAGCCATGACTTCATATGAAGTAGAAACTATAAAAAAATAATCTTAGTGGGAAAATAGCAACAACTTACTATGAAAAGCATAGCCCTAAAGTGTGTAATCCTGGGCTAAAAGCATTGATGTGTAAAATGACTGTAGTAAGAGACTGCTTGTTCATTTCCTGGCTGCCTGGACCTGAATAATCACATAGAAACAATATTAATTACAACACTGTTCGGCCAATGACCCTAGCATATTACTAACTAGCTCTTGCATCTTTAATTAACCCATGTCTATCAATCTATGTATCGCCATGAGGCTGTGACCTACCTGTAAGGATTCTAAGATTCCAACGTGTCCTCCTTCAGCAACTACATGGCATCTCCCTGACTCCATCTACGTTCTATCTTTATCTCCATTCAGATTTTATGCCTGACTTCCCTCTGCTTAGCCATTGGCCAAAACTGTTTTATTCATCAACCAATAAAGCAATGCATATACAGAATGACATCACACAACAAATGACAAAATACTTAAGGAATTATTTGCCAAGTCTTTAAATCCTTACTTCTAATTAGAGATTAAATAAGGGAGGAACAAAAACAGAAAATAAATTACTGAGATTTTTTTTTATTTACTGGTCTATTTTCAGACTAGATTTCAAAGCAGCTACTCACCCAGAAAGTGATTTTTGTGGATTAATGTTTCATGAAGTTTAGCTCTCCGAATTTTTACTTCATGTCTATCACCTGCCCTGAACTCTAATCTCAAGGGAGGAAGTATTAAAATTTGTAGTCAAGCTGGTGAATAGAATAGACATTAGAAGCTAAAGGGTAAGTAATTCCTGATGAAGGACAGGTCACTAATAAATGCCTAGTCAATGGTTACATCAGTGAAATTAGTGGACATGAAAAATATTTTTAATGTAGTCAAAAATACCAGCTTCTTCCAGACAAAGGGAGATAGTTTTTACATTAACTTTACTGTTCACATTGCTCCCTGGATAGAGAAAGTAGACTGTATAAGTTCTTCTTATCATGCTTGGAGTATACGGAAGAGGTGCTGGAGTTCCAGAGGTCCTGAGTACAATTCCCAGAAACCAGGATGGTAACTCACAACCAACTGTAATAGGATCTGATGCCTTCTTCTGACATGCCGGTATGCATGCTGAGCACTCATACATAAAATATAAATATATAAAAATTTAAAAAAAGAACTCAAAAGAAATAAAATGCTAAAAAAAGATTAAACTATATTTGGAACTTGTTGGTTCTATTCTATTTTAATATTAATCATTCACCAGCTGTTTCTAATAGAAAATAAATGGTTATGTAAATAGCATACAAAATAACACACCAGGATAAGCAAATATGTGTTATCAAACCGTGAGAAGAGAAAGCAGTTTTACCCTTCATCCCTTGCTAATTGCATTTGTTGTACTGTGAAGGTACTGCAAAAATCAGTCAGTCAGGTGAATTTCAATTGGGGGCATCTCTACTCCAGGGACTTTTTAGCACTTTGAAAACGGGTACATTCTGCTCCTATCTGAAGTGTGGTCCCTCTTTGTAATTCATGTTCAACCCATCCATATTCATAAGCAGTTAATAGAGTTTAAATGGGAGACACACTGTTAAACTAGAAATATAAGTAATTCTACCGTAGGCAATCATTGCAACAAATTGTAGCCTTGAGAGAGTCACGTAACCTCTTTGAATGACCATGTCTGTAAGAATTCCTTCAACACCACTGCTCTTTATTACAGGGCCTAAATTTATATGTGCGTAAATTTAAATTTAATTGCCCATCTAGAAATATTTTGGGAAGTTAATGCTCCAAATAGAATTCCTTTTTATTTCTTTACAACAATATATAAATATCTAAAACATGAAACTGGTTACTTTCATGATGGAAATAATGTAATCTTGGTTCTTTATTGAAGCTTAGAATGTAGCAAGTGCTCAAATAACTGATCTCTCTCCTGTATTGCTTCCTCTTAGGTCTTTTGTAACATACTTTGAGAATTTGATTGCCTATAGAAAATCAACCACATATTGAAGTCTATTCTAAAATAATTCAGATTCTTCCTGTAATATTAAAATTCTTACTATAATAAAACTATTTATTGATGCAAAATTCAGGAAGTCAGTTAAAGCTCCTCAGGCATATATCATCATCAACAGGAATATACAATTTGATTGTTTAAGATTGTGAGCATAAATTTAGAAATTTTATTCTTTTAACCCATAACTAATTAATATCCATTCATTTAACACATTTTGAGTGTATTTGAATTTAAAAGAAAATTTCCAATCACAAATTTTTTAAAGCATTACCCAAAGCATTGTTTCTAAGTCATGTGATCTAGAGTTTGTAAGAGACATTTGCTAATAATATGACAACTGTTTTAGGCAATTAGAATCTTTTCAACTTAGAATAGAAAAGAATGAAGAACGGAGGAGCTATAGGACCCTGTGCCTGACTGACATCTGCCTTGGGGACTCCTTAGATCGATGGTATCAGAATTATTTACATCATTTCAAATACTACTATATACAATTCATGACCCAGGTCTATATTTTTAATAGCTCCCTAGACAATTCTGGCATGTTGCCAGTTTTAACAGTCTGTGTTCTGCTTATTAAATAGAAATCATTCTATATTCAAACAATACAGGCATGAATTATTGCTCACTTGCAATCTTCTTAAATATATTGATATGTATTTCATAACTCAAGATGTTCCTCATACCTAATTATGCCTTACACAGCTGTGCGCCTCTACAACTAA